AGAGGCAGCCCGTCCCGCACCCGGCGTCGCACACCGTGACCCCACTCAGCGGCCCCTCGTCCAGAAGCATCTTCATCACGTTCTCCACCGTCTTCGAGTGGCCCAGCCTGATGTCCCGCTGCACCTTGTTCACGTCGTCGGTTTCCCCGTAGATCCTCCGCCACCGCTGGAACCCGTCGTTGTTGAAGTACTCCCGGACCACCTCCTTGTCCCCGCCGCCGACCTCCTCCGCCTGCAGCTGGCGGCGCCTCTCCGGGTCGGCGAGGGAGAGCGCGGCGGCGACGGCGGCGACGGACCCGCCGCCGATTACGGCGATCGCCGCGCTGTCCAGGTTTCCGTAGACTGAGGCTAACTCCGTGGCGGCGGCGAGAGGGGGAATGGCGGCTGCCGTGAAAAAGGGGGCGCGGCGGCGGTGATGCTGGTGGGGGCCGGGGAGAGGGAACTGAATTGGAGAATGCAAAATGCTAGAGAACGCCATTGTCGTCGCTATGGCTGCTGGTGCCTTTTGCTTTTCTTGGGCCGCCGTGAACGGCGGGATTGTGGGAGGAGAAATAGAAAAGAAGATTTTTGTGCTTGCTTTTCATATGGACGGATTGTGGTATCATTTTTGTGGTGATAATGTAATCCGGAAGGAGGATAGGATAAGCCAACGGTGTCTTTAACGTAGGTCCCCTCGAACTTTTGATTTTTTCCTTACAATTTAATTGTACTTAAATTTTGGGTGAGAGAACGGGAACGGAGCAACGGGTTTTATCATGAACCAATCACTCGCATGGTCCGGTTCAAGACCAAAAACCCGCGAGCTATGTTCTCTTGGGGGCGTAGCCAGAAATTTTTATTACCCTGGGCCGGTAAGTTAGGTAGTGTTTTTAGTTGAACCAAGCTATTAAGTGAATGCAACTCAACTTTGTTCATGAACCTTGAGTTCAATTTATTAAATAAGTAGTCAAATATTCTTATTTCTTAAACAAAGACAAGGTAGAACATATCGTATTCAACTTAATTTGTCTCAAACAATGCCATTAAAAATGCCATGTATAAAAAAACTACAGCATGAAAATATTTTTTCTTTAGTATTTAATGTAAATTGCATGAATAACATAGTGAGACGAATTTGAGAATAAATTATTAAAAATGTAGCATGTTGTTTTATATATAAAATATCATTTATTATACTTCACGGTCTTATTTTATATAGAGATTGCTCTTATTTAACATAAAATCATAAATAATTTCTTCTCATCTACTTCAGTTCTATTTAAAAAAATAACATTTTTTTTTTTGTTTTTTTTATTACTATTGCTATAAGATGAATGACCATTTAGACATGTTAATTGGTATACTTATTACATGACGTGTCACTTAAATTATGAAGATTTACACGTGATTTTATTGAATAGTTATATGACTAAATGAGATTAAGTTGTATATTTCTTATATCCAAATATCATCTATTTGAAAATCAAGTGATTGATATATTCCATATAAAATAATATGAATCCATAGTATCTCAAAATAACATTGTCAATGTGAATTCTATATGACCAAACAATAAAAATAAACAGACAAGTTTACGAATTAGAATAAGATCAGACCCGCATATATTTATTGATTTATGGTAAATTAGATTCAAATATATTTACGAACAGTTTTGGGATAAGGACAAAAGAGATGTAGAAATGAGCAAAATAAATTTAACATAAGCTAAATTAATATAATATGTGCTAAAATATTTTTCACTAATGTATGTTTAGAACACACAAAAAATTAAGACTGGGCTGGAGCCCGTGCTAGCCTACCCTTGGCTACGCCCCTAGTTGTCATTGTCTTCTCTATCACGCCGCACCTCTGAGCCGCCAATAGGTTTCCGACTTTGATCCATATGCACCATTTGCGTTCGAATTCAAATGAAAATGGGTGTCTTTTGGTTCTAATGCGAACCGGGCAACCGAGCACAACCTTGACAGGCCCAACAGACCCATTCGCCGCGAGCCCACCGGCAGCAGGCCCAAGCCTATGCAACAACACCCACCGGGCCGTAGATCCACGCCAGAGCAACAATACACTTGCCAGTAATTAAATGGACCATAAATATTCAAACACCACACCATACACAACACTACTACCTAACTCATCTAGATTATTGATCCAACAAAATAGACCTCACTTTTTAGTGAATCAAAGTAATTATATGCACACATCTGTTTATATCTTAAAGGTTAAGAATACGCAGTAATTAAACTAGACCTAGTTCATTTACTTGGTCAATATTAAATAAAATTCTCTTCTCTATCAATACATCCAGGATGTAATAATGCAATTCATCAGTCAAGAAAAACCGATCTAAATTACACTACAACCGTTCACGGCGGGTTCTTCAATTCCATCTAGGTTGTGAATAAATTATTTATGTTTTACAAATAACTGATAATATGATATTCTGTCCATCCGTGATGAACCATAATTATCCAAATGTAAAACATCAGTGTTGACGTATGAAATTGAGTCAATGGGTGGGATAATGTCTCTAAGTTAAAATAGAATTTTGTTTACTGGAGTGAGGTCAGATGATCTTGTTTTTTATTATAAATCAGCTCGGGTATTGTCGTATACTCGAGTGTTATTTTTAGTAAAAGAATATTCGTGCTATAGTATAATAAATGAGTGGTATTTATATTACAAAATCCACGGGCATTGTTCGATGTTAGAACATCAACATTAAATATGATTTGATTGCATCGTGCGGCTCTGCAGGGTGGGACCCACGCTAAATGATCATTTTCGACAGTACGACGGACATGCGCCTATCAGTATTAAATGCGCTGTCAGAGGTCAGTCTTCACAAAATGTAGGTCGGTCTGTGGTAGGGAAACTGAGTGCTTCACATTGAACCTCGTTCAATGCCGAGCTAATTTAACTTTATATGAGCATCGAGTTGATTTAACACAAACTTGTTTAATTAAACTAGATTCTCATTCAACTAGAAATATTGTAAATAACTCTTAAAGTCAAACATTCAATGTGTATACTAACAACCTCTGACTTATTCTTAAAGCTTTTCTTTTTCCTAGTATACTATGTAGATCATATCGCCAAACATCTGATTTTCATTTCCTTGATGTGTTTGTTGAAGACCTTCGCTGATAGACTCTTCGTGAAAGGATCTGTTAGGTTGTCCTCCGATGGTATCTTGGTGAACTCAACATCTGATCTTCCCACGATCTCTTGTATCAGATGGTACTTGCGCTCTATGTGTCTAATCGCCTTACGGGTTCGTGGCTCCTTCAAGTTCGCTACTGCACCATTATTATCACTGCTGACATCCGGGTTAGGCCTATATGAGATTCTTGATTCGAGGACAAGAAACCGAGGAAGGGCGACCTTATGACCCGACTCGGTGTCCGAGCCGAACCAAAGTGCCGAGCAGCCCAATAAAAGAAGTTGACGAGGATGACGGACATTGTGTTCCACGAGGTCGACACTTTGATAACTCACTGGCGAGGCTAACCTCATTAAATGTCGAAAAGAATAACTGGGTCCCAGAGACCAGAAGATGAGATATTTGTAAAACTCCGACCTGAAGATTCCACAAGATCGACTCCTTCGCAGGTGCAGGGCTCAAAATTAATAAGATATTGCCACTTGTCTGCTAATGATTGCCGATGTAACAAGTCACCCTAGTCTATCGCCCTATGAGATCTAGCCCGACAATAAGGTATGTCAGCATTTAATGTTCTCTATGCGTACATTAAATGCCTGATAGGTAATGATTAAAGAAATCTCAAATCGCATTTAATATCTGTCAGAGCGGCGACGACCTGCCCGTTAGAAGTTACTGTGCGACTAGATGGATGAACAGTGTTCGAACAATTCCATTTTAAGGATGTTATAAATAGAAGACACATTTTCATTTATTAGGGTTGTTGATCCCTCAACTACTACTTTCTCTCTCTACAATTACTCCCTCAAGTCTGTAATAAATTCAAATTATTAACTCCCTCAAGTGTAAAAAAAAATGCCGAACTCATCATCAGAGGCCGACCTCGTAATTAAGTAACAAAATCCAATTTTCTCGTATATCTTTCTTATTTTCTCATTTTCACCCTTATAAAACTTTTACTTAACCATTGATCGGATCCATCCATCAACAATCACAATAAAGTATAATACCTCATGGCAACCTCGATATCACTTCCAAGTCTAACAAGAAGTTCCTGAGCCATACTGTTTCTTTCGCTGATCCAGATGTTGCGTTGTACTCAACTTCCATGGTGAAATCTGCCATGCATTTCAACGTGGCACTCTCCCATACTATGGAGGTAGACTTACTTCCGTCCCAGTCTTACTGAAAATTGGGATTAGTATAACCCATAGTGATCAATTTATCTGATCAGTAGTCCAACATATAGTCTTTGGTCCTCTTCAGGAACCTAAGTATATGCTTCAACGCGGTCCAGTGACCTTGTCCCGAGTTACTTTGATACTTGCTTACCACGCCTACCGTATATTAGATATTTGTTCTCGTACACAACATAGCATACACGAGACTTTCTATTGCCGATGCATAAAGATTTTTTCTCATGTCCTCCATCTATTGAGAAATCTTGGGATGCATCTCTTTGGATACTGTAATTTCATGCCGAAATGATAGTAACCCTCTCTTTGAGTCTTGCATGATGAAACGAGCTAGGACAATGTCTATGTACGAAAATTTGGACAAACACACTATTCTCTTATCGCGATACTGAATCCCCTTGATTCTTACAATGTGTCCTGCTTTTTCCAAATCCTTCATATCATGCTACTTGAACAACCACACTTGCACGCCTGATGACACCTTTACGTTGTTTCCTATGAGAAGGATGTCGTCTACGTATAGCACAAGAAACACGACCACATTTCCATCACATTTTTTGTACATGGAGTGCTCATCCGGACATTGAGTGAACCCGTACGACTGGATCACCTCATAGAACTGGATGTTTCTAGACCTTGAAGCCCGCCTGCTTCAGTTCATAAATGGACCGATTCAGCTTACAAACTAGATGCTCACGATTCAACTTACATGTGGAATGTTAGTAGTTTGTAATCGTTGTTTTCATTATTAGCAATATATTTATTATTTGGGTAAGAAAATATTTAAATGTAAATCCCCTTGCACAAACCTCGCTAAGTATACTTTAAAGCAGTGTTTAGAGACTTGGACCGACAATGCATGTCGACTCGAAACTCGATCGTCGCGAGGCCGTGGCCGGTCCATGTGTGTTGTTTGGACTTGGCAAACTTGGTCTAAACCCGATAGACTTGGCCTTGACCTGGTCGACCCGGGTATTGACCTGGTTTGGTCAACTCAATTTGACCCAACCATAATTTTTTGGAGTTTTTTCAATACAAGACCTGAAAAATGGGTAAACTATCAATTCGGGGCCTGAAAGATTTTTTTTTTTCTCAATTCGGGACCTAAATGTTAGAAAATTATCAAATCAAGTCCTAAAATTAACAAAATCTATAAAACACCATTAAATTAAGAGTTACTTTGATGTTTTAAACAACAAATATATTACAAAGTGAGAGAGAGAGAGAGAGAGAGAGAGAGAGAGAGAGAGAGAGAGAGAGAGAGAAAGAGAGAGAGAGAGAGATAAAAAGAAAAATGAAGAAAATTAAGATAAATACGAAATTATTGGAGAAAATTAAGGAAAGTATGAAGCTCAAGCTCGATTTTCTTGTTATCGTCGATTTCAGTTTTTTTTGTCTGTTTTTTGTTTTTTGAAATATTAAGCAAATGTATACTTATTATTTTTTTGAGAGTAAGTATCAATCTTTTCTTTTATTATTTTTTTAAACTTTCAATTAAATGGTGTTATGAGTTTTGTTAATTCTAGGACTTAATTTGATAGTTTTGTAACATTTAGGTTCCGAATTGAGAAAAAAATCTTTCAAGCCCCAAATTGATAATTTACCCATCTTTCGAGTCTTGTATTGAAAAAACTTCTAATTTTTTTTATCTTTTTATTTTTCAAATAAAATTATGTATATATATTTATGTGATAAATATTTATGATAAAATACGATGTACTATGATATGATATTAAGATTAAAACTTGCATATAATAATTTATTTCTATTATTTTGCTTATTGTTAGAGAATATAAATTAATATAAACTAAAATTAATTACTCGATTCAACAACTAAATCGGTGATCCGACCAATGGATCGGTGGTGGCCCGGGTCAATCATGGATTTTAAAACTATGCCTTAAAGTGATTTTTTTCCTCATTTTTTCTTTTCTTAAAAGCGAACCAACCTTATCCACAAGGAATTGACACTGACAGCCGATGCTTTGTTTTACATCTACTGCCACCTTTCAAGAATTGGGCTGACGAGGATTCACAGTCAAATTGCATTATTTAAAACTCCATTTTTTCTTCACTATGATCCTAGCTTACATTCTGGGTTCGATTTCTGTTTCTCATATTAGTTTGTCTTTAAATATGTTTTGATCGTGACCTGTTCTGGGGTTGGTCCCGAGCTGCCATGGCGGGGTTCAAGGTTTTCTCAGTGGCTTTGACTGTGTGCGTTTTGTGTGTTTTGGTGGAGTGTAAGTATATGGTGTACAACACTTCGCAAGGCATTGTTCCTGGGAAAATCAATGTCCATTTAGTTCCACACACTCACGATGATGTTGGGTGGTTGAAGACTGTCGATCAGTACTACGTTGGATCAAACAATTCAATTCAGGTAACTTTTAGATAAGTACACGCATTTTTTTTCGATTAACTTATGCCTGCTGTATTTTGGATTTGGGGGTTTGGGGTAAGTCTAATTTTGCAATGTTTAGCTTGTATTTCTGATGTTTTTGTGTGTATAATATATAAATGTTTCTGATGTTAAAATCGAAAACAAGGAGAGGGAAGGGAGGGGATTTGCAATGGCCATCTTAATCTGCCTCCACTGGCAGTTTTCACAACTTGATTTCTAAGTAGAATAGGAGAAAATGGATGGTTAATCTTCTTTTACCTGATGGAATTTTTTGTTTTTGTGAGTTGAAACTGCGGTGTGGGTTTGTGTGCAGATAGCATGCGTGCAAAATGTGCTGGATTCACTGATTCCTGCTTTGCTGGCCGACAAAAATCGGAAATTTATTTATGTTGAGCAGGTGCAGTTTTCGTTACAAGTACTGTTGTATTTGTTTTTCAGGTCAATGAGTTAAGCAGGCTGATGTGTATGCCGTTTGTGTTGCAACAGGCATTTTTTCAGCGGTGGTGGAGGAACCAGAATGAAGATATGAAGAAAACAGTTCGAAATCTAGTTAACTCTGGTCAACTCGAGCTAATGTACTAATTCTATTAACGGTCAAAAGGCTTACAATGCTAGTAAATAACGATTTCGGTTTATATGTGTTCAGACTCTTTTTGTTTTGTAAGAAGTATGGATATTAGAAATAGATACAATTAGTTATTGGTTTGTGGGTGAATGTTTTTACCTTGATAATTGCTATTTATTATTATAATTTTCTCTTATTCTTATGCAGAAATGGTGGTATGTGCATGCATGATGAGGCGACGACACATTACATTGACATGATAGATCAAACAACACTCGGCCACCAGTTTATTAAAGACGAGTTTAATGTCCTACCAAGAATCGGTTGGCAAATTGACCCGTTTGGACATTCTGCTGTTCAGGCATACCTTTTGGGGGCAGAGGTATCAATTATATGTATGAGTCTCTGCATTTGGGGTGCATAATAGGTCTTTTTTCATGAATTAGGACCCAATTTTCAAATTTGTATAATTACAATTGCAAAAGGAATGTAACTCGCATGATGTATGTATGTGCATAAGTTGGTATTATGCATAATAGTACGTTTCTGTGTGAATTTTGGTAATTACGATGAATTATGTTATTTTTGGTTCTTAGGTTGGATTTGATGCTCTTTACTTTGCTCGTATTGACTACCAAGATAGAGCTAAAAGAAGAGATGAGAAGAAGCTCGAGGTCATATGGCAGGGTTCTAAAAGTCGTGGTTCGTCCTCTCAGGTTATCACCGAGTTTCGACAGTTTTCAGACATTCACTATTAGTTTAATAGTATCATAGCTAGTGCTATTTCATAAAAAAAAATATCTATTGTCTAATATGAATTGCGTATTTTCGTGTGAAATCAGCCTTTTGACTTTGTATTAAATTGATTCAGATATTTACTGGTGCTTTCTATGCTGGGAATTATGAACCTCCTACTGGTTTCTATTATGAAATCAATGATGATTCCCCCATAGTACAGGTACCTTTTGGAGAGATAATATCTTTTTGAACTTATGTCTGTTCGGATACTGATATTGTCTGCCTTCCTTGAATGAAGGATGACATTAATTTATTTGATTATAATGTTGAAGAGCGTGTGAATGCTTTTGTAGCTGCTGCCTTAGCACAGGTGATTTGTTATTCACTATTTTTATTTATTTTTTGTCATTCTTTTTTTCTCCGTTTGCTTATTTCCTGCCCTGTTCTTGAATAAACTATGTCGAAATTATTCACATTAGATCCATTTATAGTCACATCCCTCACTCTCTCTCTCTGTCTGTCTTTGGTTCTGCTGAAGGCTAACGTTACTCGTTCAAACCATGTGATGTGGACTATGGGAACAGATTTCAAGTATCAATATGCAGAGACATGGTTTCGGAATATGGACAAGCTTATACATTACGTGAACCAAGTTAGCTTCTTTCAAATCCATCCGATCATATTTTGACTTTTATATGACCTTTATGCTACTTCTTTTAATTTAATGTACATTTTTTAACCTGATTGCAGGATGGTCGTGTCAATGCCTTGTACTCAAGTCCATCAATATACACCGACACTAAATATGCTTTAAATGAACCCTGGCCTCTTAAGACTGATGACTACTTCCCGTGAGTGCATGTTTTTAAATTTATGCAAGTTCATCCACAACTTCTTTGCCCATCTTAAGATCTGATGTAATAGTTGAGGATGCAAGTTGTTTCTCAGATATGCAGACCGTATAAATGCTTATTGGACCGGCTATTTTACAAGTAGGCCGGCCATCAAAGGCTATGTCAGAACCATGAGTGGCTACTATTTGGTGTGTCTTGGGCAAAAATTGAAAGTTGAAACACTTCCATTTCATGCCCGATTAAGGTTGTCTAAAATCTTACTGAGTTTGAATATTTATATTTAGGCGGCAAGGCAGTTAGAACTTTTTAGAGGTCGAAATAAATTAAGGGGGCCAACGACTGACTCGTTGGCTGATGCTTTGGCGATTGCACAACATCATGATGCGGTTACTGGTACAGAGAAGCAACATGTTGCTAATGACTATGCAAAACGGCTTTTCATAGGTTATAAGGAGGTGAGTCCTTTCAATAATAGTTTTTGTTTGTTACTAGCACAGTTGACCTATCTGGTTTCTCCTTTTATTTTAATGTCTTTCTTTTTTTTTTTTTTTTTGGAAAATTTTTGCAGTCCGAGGACATTGTAGCAGCTTCTCTTGATTGTCTGACACAATCAGACTGCAAGAGTTCCATCACAAAATTCAACCAGGCAAATCTACGTGCACCTAACTATTCTACTTAAGCCTTTTTCTTTATATTTTTTTTTTTACTTTTTACCATTTTGTCTATGGGTGCATGGAGTCACAAGTGGTTTGGCTTTCTTCAAGTCATCAAACGCTTTCATTTGTTGCCCTTATTATTGTATTTTCATTTTGGAAAATAAGCACATGTTTTGGTGCTAATATATTTCCTCTTTACAGTGCCCCCTTCTGAATATAAGTTATTGTCCTGCAACAGAAGTTGATATTTCTCGTGGGAAAAAAATTGTAAGTATAATGCATTATAATTGATCAGGGTTTCTGCCATTTACTTGAAAAAGAGTGTTATTTTGCAGATATTAAGTGTATTTAAACTTAAATGACTTATTGCTTTCCTCTAACAGGCAGTAGTTGTCTACAACTCTCTTGGGTGGAGAAGATCGGATATCGTGAAAATTCCTGTGAGCATTTTGCAATTTTTCTTCGCAATCCAGTTCAGTTAAACATTTCTTTCTATCTGGGACTAAGCAAGGGGAAAAGTGCTGATGCATAATGCAAATATATTTTCCAGTAAGAGAATTTGATTAAAAATTTGTAAAGGTGCTATATTTCATGCTACTTGATGCAGGTAATCAGTGAGTATGTCACGGTTAGAGATTCTACCGGAAAGTTGGTCTCATCACAGCTTATTCCTATTGTGGATGTCTCATCAGCCAATAGAAAATTCTACACCACTGCATATACAGCCAAATCCCCTTCGACTGACCCAAAGTATTGGCTTTCATTCACGGCTGTAGTCCCACCTTTGGGCTTTAGCACTTATGTGATTTCAAGCAGCAAATGTATGCAACCAACTCTTTTCTTCTGAGTAGTTAATATTTACTGATTGTATTGGGTGTATAATGAAATATGTATTTATATTCTGTTGTGTTGCATTGCAGCTTCTGGTTTGATAGAGCCGGTTTCATATATGTTTGATGGAAGTTCAAATGGACCCATACAAATAGGGTCCGGCAACTTGAAGCTTATATACTCTGGAACTGATGGAAAGCTTACACGATATGTTAATAGTAGAAACATGGTACACTATTTAGAAATTGATTTGTTTGAGGATGGTTACAATTGCTAACCTTGAGGTTTAGTTTAAATTATATAGGAAAGAAAAAGATAATTGTTGCCTATTAAAATAGCTATTTCCCTCGAACACAAGTTTTTTTTTTTTTTTTTTTTT